TTAACGACCCGAATACTATATGCGAACAATTCAGCAAGCACTTCTCGCAGTGCTACAAAACTGGAACTGAAAGCTCCAGCATTACATTTCCAATGCTAACATCCAGACATCTGTCGAAAATTGATTTCACACCCTCCGCCATCAAGCAGGCCATAACTGCCCTGAAAAAGTCCTATGATGGTGGACCTGACGGGATACCTACATCATTTGTGAAATATGGAAGTAGAGAATTTCCACTATTTTGTTTGAAACTTTTCAATCTATCTATGGAATATGGGACCTATCCATCTGTATGGAAAACATCCCTAATCACCCCTAGATTCAAAACAGGACCACGTAGTGATATTATTAACTATAGGCCAATTAATTTGACATCGGTGCTCTCAAGAACCATGGAAAATCATCCACAAACAGCTACTATCATTTTTACTTTCAGCTAGTCTGATCAACCCATCCCAACATGGGTTCATGACTAAACGTTCATGTTTCACATCGCACCTGGAGTTTTTTGATCAAATTACCCAGAGAAGAGATGTTGGTCAGTCAGTGATAATTCTTTACTTCGATTTTAGTAAGGCTTTCGACAGTGTCTCACACAAACTTCTTCTTATAAAACTCTCTTCATTTGGCATACAGAATCCCCTTTTATCTTGGCTCAAATCTTTTTTAGAAGAACGTAGCCAAATCGTTCGCTTTGGATCTTGCTACTGTAAACCTGTAAATGTAACCAGTGGGGTTATACAAGGAAGTGTGGTTGGTCCATTACTCTTTCTCTTTTTTATCAATGATGTATGTTCCCTCTTTCAGTATGGTAAGCCTTTCCTTTTTGCTGATGACCTGAAAGTAATTTATTCATTCTCTTCTCTCATGAAAGGAAGCTATATTTCAGCGGTAATCCAGGAGGAAATAAACAAGTTGTACGAATGGACTATTTCGTGGAATATGCCACTTAATGTTGAGAAAAGTGGATTTATTCACATTGGTCGCTGTCTTAACTTAAATCTGACTGTACAGACACATACACTCAAACCTCTCAACACTGTTCGTGACCTGGGTTTAAGATATAGCAACAGTCTGAACCTTTCTGAATACATTATATCTCAAGTATCCAAAGCTAGAAAGCTCATCGGATTGATAATGATAAAGTTCGATAATATCGAACAGAAAATGTATCTTACTCATTCTTGAATATAGTATTTTAGTTTATAGTAGTTGCAGGCATAATCACCTTATTGAAATTAGAGGTATTCAAAAAACGTTCACGAAAGCTGTTCTGGGGTATTCCGATAACAAAGACTATTACCAAAGATGTCAACAACTCAAATTAGAACCTCTTTGGATCAGACGTATCAAATTAAATCTTGTCTTTATCTACCGGCTCATTAACGGTATTTCCTGCTTATCGGTATCCACCCTTTCATACCTTATAATATCATCCCACAATCTACGCAATAAGGAAAACATTCTAGCGATTCCAAGAACCCACACAAACGTACATCAGAATTTTTTCCTTATTCGCTACTCAACCATGTGGAACAGACTGCCAGTGAACCTCCGTTGCAGTGAAACTACAACCCGGTTCAAAAGTCTCCTTGATGATTTTTTTTCCGAAAGTGGATTATGTCACCTATTGAATATCAATGTATTCAATAATGATTTATACAAACAAGGTCCGTCATCTATTTAATTGCTTGAAAAGCAAAATAAAAACTTTAAATCTTTTCACGTCTATTTTGTTTTATTTCTCTTTATCTTAATATATGAAGTCTGCATATGTTCGTGTTTATCATTATTACTGTTATCAATATCATTATTAGTTCCCCGACACATTAGATATTCTCTTTATCTCTTCTTATCCTTCTAAACATACTTAACTCCAGATTGTCCTTTGAAATCAATTTTGACTTTCATAGCATCAATCTTAATTATTATTGCATAAATATTTATACTAATATCCGGTTTCATTCTGTATACTATTACATAAATCTAAATGTATTCATCCGAGTGCTTTAAAGGATTTTTTTATTTTTTTAATTTGTTTCAATTGCTGGTTTCCTTCTGAGGTTGATATTCATTACACAATTATTATTCTTATCATGGAAGAAAGTTTTCACTAGGTGTTCACTTCTTTTCTTTCCCTCTGAATAAATATTATCCTTAAGATTACAAAGTTTGTAATTAAAACAATAACTTGTGTTACATTTAAATTAACTTCTCAGATTCGTTTTATCTTCACTATGCATATATGAATCATACAGAGTGATATTTTATTATCCTTTTCACTTAATTGTGACTTTCATAGCATCACTCTAAACTATAACTGCACAAACATTTATTCTAGCGTCATATCTTACTACAATGATAAATTATTTTATCTTAATTATTTTTTGTTACTAATTTAACGATACACAAATAGTCGTTTATTCTTGTTCTGTGTTTATAAACACGCCTATTACACTGTTTGCGTATTTCACGTCTCCTTTATTTCTATTCCCTTATTTTCTCCATATAAATTTTTCAGTTGTATTGTTGTTTGTTTCTGATTCGATGATTGAAAGTGACAATTAGAAAAATCTAGTTTAACAAATCTGTTTGCTCATTGTTAACCAATTAATGTGGTAGATGCACTCATTGTTATCCAACGTTCATGTAGGTTGCCAGGTGGTGGACTGATATTCATTAAGCGTTGATCGACATTTCTGACCTCTATTGTTGAAAACGCTTTTGGCTTTGACTGCCAATACTTTGAATATGTGACTGGATTATTTGTTCTTCAATGCGCCCACTAAAATACACTTTGTTGATTTTCATCAAAGTATTAATGTATTTGTTTAATGTCAGTTTCTTTGATCTCTATTCTGTGTGAGTAGATGAAAATTAGTTACCTAAACACATTATTAGAATGCGGTATTCCTTATTCTAATTAAGATTCATTTCACGCCCACTACACAATAGAGAATACCACCATGTTATCTGATTTATTAGAAATAATGAGGTGATAGACAACAAGAAAGTATAATCACTGTTATTCTTACAAACAATTGAGGTCAACAGAATGATGTTTTTAAATGACAATGTCAGTTATTTTACACTATCATTATAACTTAATTTAAAGTATATTTTTTCTGAGAAAGAAGCAGTTGTTGTGGTCAAACCAAACAATGACTGTCCATCGAGCATAATCTGATCCTGCTGGACAATGCTATTTCCTTATTCTTGGGCCAAAAGCATTCTTTTCATCTTCACGTCGTTTCTCCCACTTGGGAGAATCTTTAATTCTTTTGGTTCGTTGTGTATTCTAGTGTGCTATATTGCAACGCTTCCCAATGACAGTTCCATGCTGTATATAGGTTTGATTAGTGTCTGTTGTTATAGTTCGTGCTTCTGGCTTTACGGAATATACTTCTCCGTTCCAAACTTCAACTTCTCTCTCTAGTAAGCAGGTCTGAGACTCACCAGAATATCTAGATTATGGGTCTTAGGTCACAAGTCTTTGTTACGTTCGCATTCTAAGTGAACTCGTGATAGCTTCAAACCTAGCAAAATTGGCAACGGTCGTTTAGGAGAAGTAGATCCTTCCAGAATTGAATTATTACTTGAGCAGCAGCTGAAACTGATGCAGACGTTGACAGATATAAAGATTTCGAAACCCTTACAGCCGAGCACATCTAGTGCAACTACAGTATCATCAATAGACGGCATCGCAAATAAAATTGCTGAGTTTCATTATGATTCTGATGCCAACGTTACTTTTCACATGTGGTTTCGGCGTTAGGAAGACTTATTGAATTTTGATTTTGCTAATCAACATGATGCTTAGAATGTTTGGCTACTACTTCGAAAGTTGTGTGCAACATTGTTTAATTCACTAGGATGATCTATTTTGGCCTTCAATGCACATGTTTCAACCCCGTACAGTTGAACTGTCTTGTAACGTGATGGATTCTACATCTTTCAGAGATTCTCCTTTAAGCAAAAACTGATAACGTGAGATGTCAAAATTAACATTATTATATTACAATATTATTTCAAGTAAATAAAATCTATCAGACGATTTTAACATCGTTTTACCATCAAAAATGTAAATTCTGATCAAAGCCACCATAATTATGTTTGACTTACATATTACACCACAGTTTGTTAATAGATGTTCAGGTTAGGAGAGATATAACTTTTCTCACTGATCACGTACAACTTGAACTGAATGTGATTGTAATAAAATATAAGCGAAACATTGTACTGAAAGTGAAATTTTGAAAAAATGATAGTTATTCCTCAAAACAAACACAGATTTGAATATACAACAAAGATTAATCTAAATTACGATGGTAATGCACAAAGTGGAAACTGACTTCATTCAGAGTATTTTATTGATGTGTTCTTATGTATCCTTTAGGCCAGTGTAAAAAGCAATCGATGTTCTAAAACACGAGAACATCACGATCAACATTCATTATCCACAGTAATTTATCAGTACATATTACTACAAAACTTAATTTTCAACGAATTCTGATGAGATAAGTTTAAAAATCTTTGATGAATTTGCAACATCCATCTATTTCATCGCATACTACATACATACATACATACATACAAACGTATTAACTGAAAATACTATTGAACAGATTCATCAATTATTATCGTCAAGAGCAAACGTTGCTTCACCGAAAAGTCTTCATTGGTTTCAACGATAATCGGTGATATTCAGATAGATAGTGAGACGTGATTTCAGTTCCGAAATGATTATAATTGATTGTTTGTTGGTTTCTCTGTTTGTATTTCATCTTCTCTAGTTTGTTCAAGCAGACACTCAGGTTCCGCTCAAACGATTCATTTGAGATAACAATGTGTTTGACAACTGACAAATACAGTTGAACGAATTTAGGAGATGACAGTGTCCAACAGGATCAGATTATGCTCGATGAACAGTCATTGTTTCACCTGACCACAACAACTGCTTCTTACAACTAACTAAATCTGTTTGATTGAGATCATGAACCGCCATTGATGATAGATCACCATTGAAACCTAGAAGCACTGGATGGCCGCTTCGTCCTGTTTGGATTAAGGTCTCTAACCGAACGATTCTGTCAGGATTATGTGGTTGAACAATAAATATAATCTTCACAACTATCTGAATACTGGCAACATAATACGAGTTTTCTCAGAAAAAATATACTTTTAATTAAGTTATAGTGATAGTGTAAAATAACTGACATTGTCATTTAAAAACATCATTCTGTTGACCTCATTTGCTTGTAAGAATAACAGTGATTATACTTTCTTGTTGTCTATCACTTCATTATTTCTAATAAATCAGATAATATGGTGGTATTCTCTATTTTGTAGTGGGCGTGAAATGAATCTTAATTAGAATAAGGAATACCGCATTCTAATAATGTGTGTAGGTAACTAATTTTCATCTACTCACATAGAATAGAGATCAAAGAAATTCTCATTTTACAAATACATTACTACTTTGATGAAAAGCAAATGAAGTGAAAACACATATTTTGGCTTTCAATGCATAGTAAGTTTTGCGTCAGCTGTGAATAAACACAGTAACTGTTTACCAACTAAATTGTAATGAATTTTGTGTATGTTTGCTTATAGAATCCTCCAGTTTTCACATCATCAGTTTGTCAATGTATAGAATGCTCACTAATAATCGAAATTCATTTAGACGTGAATAGATATTATGTAAGACGTGTATTGTCTATAACGCAGTGTTCAATTGTCCTGATGACATAATCTGCATCACATTATGTGTGTTGATTTATATCAACCATTTTGACGTATGAACTCGACGTTTCCCGATATTCTGAATAGATACATTTCACTGTTGATCAAATGTTTGTTCGAATGAATTTGGTTATCGTCGTCAGGTGAAAGCCAGTTCTCATCTTCACTGAAGTCTGAAGAATGCTCTGTCTGCCATTGGAATGAGGCGACACCCTGTAAGATGAATATCTACGTCTGTTGAAATGATATGTGATTACGAATAACTGTGAGGTTCGTTGACATAAATTTTTAACCATGTGACGTGCTCACTTCTTTCGATTGTCGTTCATTCCTGGATAGATACGTTTTACTGTTGATCAAATGTATGTTCGAATGAAGTCGGTTGTCATTGTTAAATGAAAGCCGTAACACTTTACATGGAGTTGAATACATTTTGAAATATCATTTGGTAATGGAATTCGTCCTTATTTTTCGACGAAACTAAAATGAATTTCCACATGAAGCAGCATTTATAGTTGAATATTTGATCAACAAGCCAGGTATGTTCAACTCGACAATTTAAATCCACACTTTCAGTCGACGGTTTTGAGGAGGATTTTTAATTGAGTTAGACAGGGTTTTCGATTTGAGAAATAAATGCTACCTTACTGGAATCACAAGCGACCTCTTGTGAGACAGAGATATTCCCATTGATTGGTCAAATCAAAATAATTGATGTCATGTTGGTCTGTTAATTGATCAATTATATATAACATGTATTCTTCCTTAACTAATTATTAGTAACTAGTTATTGTTTGATTCGTGATAAGAAGGAACTATCTTTACCATTTCACATTGATATATTCACTTGACGACATTCACAGTTTTCATACAAGTCTTTCTATTTCTAAAGTTTAATAAAGGGAGAACAACTATTGTAGCAGAATAACGCCAACGCATCATATTCTTCGCTTCTCGTCTGCTGCTTGCAACTTCATGCCATGACATTGCAACGGCCCTCAGTCGATTGACAGTGTCTGTTGCGTTGATTTCTCAAAGTCCTTCAATTATTAAACAGAGAACGTCAAACTTACTACGGTTTGTCGAGGCAACTAGCATTAAATCACCTAAAGGAATCTTATGTGTGGAGTAAAATTCACTTGTCGATACTACCCTGCCGTGACAACTGCTTTGCCATTATGATCAACAAGCTCATCGTGACACAATATTCTGGATAGACACATTTTACTGTTGAATAAATGCAATCTTTTTATTGAATGTTGATTATTGTTGATCAAATTTTCAAGAAGTCAAACGATTTTGATATGTCTGTCATTTGGTATTCAAATTCATTCCCGCAAAGGGACAGAAATGAAACATTTCTTACTATTCAACATATGTTCATTCAACTTTCGAATATGCAGATATCAGTCATTAGTTCAAGAGATGATGGTGCCACTATTTTAAGAATCTTTATAATCCAAAGTATAGTGGATCGGTTAGTATTCTGAAATGAATGCAAAAAATCATTCCGGTTGACAAGGGTAAAGCGGACCCAGGTTGGATGCCATTTTAAAATACAGGCTTGACATGATAGAAAGAAACAAACACTTTGCGATGTGCAGGCAGACTACATAACTTAGGCATGATTAAGTTCGTCACACACCACTGAGACAGACTACGTCAACCAAGAAAGTCTAAAACAAGAGTCGAAAGAGAAAAATATTGTTTCAACGAGAAGAAGTGATGATATTATTTTGACATTATAATGCGAATACTGAGACGATCAAATTCGAAGATGCATAGTTCATTATCCGAACACAAATTATTCAACATGTCCACTGTAGGATTTTTAATAATAATTCAGTAGTAATAACATGGGTCAGTTCAGAGAGTATAACTATTTGAATTTCAGTCAACGGCAACGAAAATCACAGTCATTCAGAATTGCACGTCAATTAAAAAAAAGACAACATTCATCTGACAATGTTTCCTTTCATTCCATGATAGACAGATCATTCATTCCATAGGAAAACGAACACCAAACAAATTTCATTTTAGGCGGTAAACAGTTACTGTGTTTATTCACAGCTGACGCAAAACTTACTATGCATTGAAAGCCAAAATATGTGTTTTCACTTCATTTGCTTTTCATCAAAGTAGTAATGTATTTGTAAAATGAGAATTTCTTTGATCTCTATTCTGTGTGAGTAGATGAAAATTAGTTACCTACACACATTATTAGAATGCGGCATTCCTTATTCTAATTAAGATTCATTTCACGCCCACTACACAATAGAGAATACCACCATATTATCTGATTTATTAGAAATAATGAGGTGATAGACAACAAGAAAGTATAATCACTGTTATTCTTACAAGCAAATGAGGTCAACAGAATGATGTTTTTAAATGACAATGTCAGTTATTTTACACTATCACTATAACTTAATTAAAAGTATATTTTTTCTGAGAAAACTCGTATTATGTTGCCAGTATTCAGATAGTTGTGAAGATTATATTTATTGTTCAACCACATAATCCTGACAGAATCGTTCGGTTAGAGACCTTAATCCAAACAGGACGAAGCGGCCATCCAGTGCTTCTAGGTTTCAATGGTGATCTATCATCAATGGCGGTTCATGATCTCAATCAAACAGATTTAGTTGAATGTAAGAAGCAGTTGTTGTGGTCAGGCCAAACAATGACTGTTCACCGAGCATAATCTGATCCTGTTGGACACTGTCATCTCCTAAATTCGTTCAACTGTATTTGTCGGTTGTCAAACACATGGTTGTCTCAAATGAATCGTTTGAGCGGAACCTGAGTGTCTGCTTGAACAAACTAGAGAAGATGAAATACAAACAGAGAAACCAACAAACAATCAATTATAATCATTTCGGAACTGAAATCACGTCTCACTATCTATCTGAATATCACCGATTATCGTTGAAACCAATGAAGACTTTTTGGTGAAGAAACGTTTGCTCTTGACGATAATAATTGATGAATCTGTTCAATAGTATTTTCAGTTAATACGTTTGTATGTATGTATGTATGTAGTATGCGATAAAATAGATGGATGTTGCAAAATTATCAAAGATATTCAAATTTACCACAGCTGGGTTCGATCAATACGAAGTGATGTTCCTCACATCTATTCGTGATGAACAAAATCTTCAAGTGTTTCGAGTAATATAGTAAGAGTGTTACCTCTTCGTAGCTTACGTTTTTATGTACTGAATGAATCGTGGTGCATTATTTGTTAACGTTGGAAGCGCTCATCAAGAACCTGCGATTTTTAATAGTTTTGGTAGAAACAAATACATTGATCTGTGAAACAAAAGATGAATATAACTACGCAGTCAAAGGATAAAAAGAAGAAGAGTTAGTGTTAGGTAATATTCAACTATTCTCTTTTGTCAAATTCGATGGATTCATATGACCAATGATTAATAAGTGATTTAGCGAGACTTGTCTGGGTACAAAATCGGGATTTGAAGTGGTTAATTACTATAGCTTCGACGATACAAAATCAATTCACTTAAACTGTTTTTAGCCAGTTTTTTTTATTTTACTGTGTAACTGGAACGCAGATACGCAGACTGTGTGGTCTGGAATGACTGTCTTTGAGAATTGAATTGTTGACTTATCAATATATCCCTTTGGATAATCATACACCGTAGTACTCGGATTATCCTTTACAATCGTTAGGAATGCTAGATCCTCAAATCTCACTTGGTAAATGCTTTCATTTTGTAATTTTATTTTGCGAATTCCAATTTCCCTGTTTTGGGGTCTAGGGCGTTTTTCCCACTTGGGAGAGTTTTTAATGCTATTTGTCCGTTGTGTATTTTAGTATGCTATTTTGCAGCTCTTCCCAATGACAGTTCCATGATGTATATGTGCGTTTGATTTGTGCTTGTTGCTATTGCTCATGCTTCTAGAATTACGGAATATAATTTCCCGTTCCAAACTTGAACTTCTCTCTCTAGTTAGAGAGTCCGAGACACCTCAGAATATCTAGCTTATTGGTCTTCGGTCACAAGTCCTTGTTCCGTTCATACTCTAAGTGAACTCGTAATTGAAGTCAAGCTTAAGCTGGAATATGTCAATAAGAACAGTTCTTGAAGTTTTCTAAGCCAGATGATGTTATCAAGTCTACAATAGAAAGATTTGCACCAGAATAACTCAGACATTCACAAGACTCTCAGAAGAAGCATACACCTACACTCCGGATCGTTTCATTGAGTGATTTGTACATTTAGCTGGAGATCAGAATCCTTACACAGTTCTCTGCGTTGTTGTATACCCAAGATTGACAATCACATCGAAGTAATAAATATATTTTAATTAACTGGTAATACAATCATCACAAACCGTGTTTTGATAACTAAAAAGCAGTAAATATGATTTACAGAATTTTAATGAAAATGAACCAGTCGTGCGTTAAATGATTTGTTTAGAAATTTCACAAATGCAGTATATGTATTTGCATAATATAATAAATTGTTTTATTCTAACCACGTGTTCGTTCATAATAGATGTAGTATTTTTGCTTTTGGATAGTAGTAGAAATCCCAGTATTGGTTAAAGTGGTGTACACAATAGTTTGGTAGACCAAATAATATATGAACTCAAAAATGATATATATATATATATATATATATATATATATATATATATATATATATATATATATATACATTCCCAACAATAATAAAGGTAAAATGATACACATAAGTGGTTATTGTAAGAATGACACGGTTCGTTAAATAAGTTAACAAAAGAACTTAACCAAGTTAAATGTGAACAAACTCAATTGCACGTGAGTTGCTATAATTCATCGAAATTGTGTTAGTAGTAATAATAGCAGCAATTGTAGCAGTTCAATTAGTAATGGTTGCAATTGTAGTGTAATGAACAGACCATGAGTGTAGCAATCGAATCTATTTAAGCACTACACTACAGAATATCTCACAAAAATCTGGGAACCATATCATAAACAGTTTATTAAAAAAATAATAATCCATCGTCTCAAACTTGACTGCTCCTTCTGCAAATATTAGTAAATTATCTCAGATTTCATTGTTCATACATTTTAATACCAATTGCTTTCAGTTTCCATTCTTTCCTCCTCGGTCTTCTACTGAAATACATTCTATGCCTGATTATCGTTATATACTACTTATGTAGATGTAAGTAGCTTACACCACAGTCGCAATATTAGTGAAGGTGTGGTGCGTGCTACTTATATTGATATAAGTAGTAAATAACGTGAGTTAAAAGAACGAAATGTCTGGCAGCAGAACATGGGGAAGATCCAGAAAAGAAGAGTGAGAACACAATGGAATTTGTAAAAAATCGCATGAACAATGAAATGTGAGAAAATGGATTGGTGTTTGCAACAGCAACAGTCCGGTTTGACATGATGGAATGATATTTTGCAAATTAACGATTGACGATATGGTTTTCTTATTTTACCAAGTAACTCTGTAATTTGTGCTAAATACAATTTGGTTGTCCTCACCTGTGTTCTCCTTCACTACATTTGGTGTCGCTGCCTCCACTAAGGATGAAGATTCCATGGCCGAAGGAATTTGAGGATGGAGATGTGTTAAGCTTCCTGAATGTGTTTGAGGCCGTGGCGGAGCTGGTAGGAGTGAAGGAGCCGAAGTTAGTGGTGCTGGGGACGCTGTTGAGAGGCAGGGCGAAGGCTGTATATGACAGCTTGGACGCTGCTGGTGGGAAGACGACATGGGAGAAAGTTACGGAGCGTTTGGCGGCGGAGTTCGACAGCCCAATGGACAGAGAGGAGGCGCTGCAGAAGTTCCGGCTGGTGAGGTCGCCGGTTGATGGTGACCCACTGGTGCTGGCGGTAAAGCTTACCAGATTGTTACGCCGTGCGCTGCCAAATCTGGATGAGGAGTCGGAGGCACAGTTGTTAGCGTAACAGTTTATCGAGAGTGTACCTGCCACCATCTCCCAACAACTGAAACTGGTGAAAGCAGCGCAACCAATGGATATTAGTGAACTGGCGAAGGTGACTCGCCAGCTGATGATGCGAACAGTGGCTCCGGAAAGCAGGAGATAAGTAATGTAGAGAAGATTGAGGAGCTGGAGCGTGAAATTGCAGCAATACGAGTGAACCATAAAAAGAACGGTAAATGTTACGCTTGTGGAGGAACAGGACATTGGAAGATAAACTGTCCAACAAGACGAAGACGCAGATATTTTAGACGTTATAACGAGTGTTCTTTCTATCCTAGGAATCTGGGGGTTGTTGCGTTAGTAGACAGAGGGGCAGTGTATACGAGAGTGAACATAAATGAACGAGATTTAGTTTGTCTGATCGATACAGGTGCAGCAGTCTCGTTAATAGGCAAAGAGCAATGTAGGAGACTCAAGCCGTGTACATTAGCTGTCCACACTATAGGAGGCCATATGTTAGAAGTGTTTGGCGTATCTAACAGTATCGTAAAAGTGGGGGATGCTGAGATAAATTTCCCGTTCGTGGTAACCACAAGCTTATCGAGACCGATATTAGGAGCAGATTTCCTAAGAGAAGTAAGAGCGATAGTTGACTTAAGAAACGGTAAGGTGGTCACAAAGTATGGTTCAGTGCCAATACACGAAAGTAGTGAAGTGGCTGAAATAAGAGTGGCAGCGGATGTCTCGTCGAAGAAACCAAACATTAACGAGTTATGCAAAAAGTATGCGAAACTGTTCACTGGAGATGGAGAGCCGTATGGATTTTGTGACAAAGTAAAGCACGAAATCCCGATAAAGAGCGATCGAGTAAGTATATTTGCAACACGTCGTGTTCCAGTGCATTAAGAGGCTGAGATAACTCGACAGGTCCAGGAAATGTTGAAAGAAGGTATAATTGAGGAAGCGGACAGCCCATATAGCTCACTGGTACTCTTAGTAAAGAAACCAAATGGAAAGTATAGATTTCGTCTCGAATTCAGAGAATTGAATAATATAACAGACCTGAAACCTTGTGCAATGCCAACAGTAGTGGAAACATTAGATCGGCTACAGAATGCCACGGTGTTTACAGTGCTGGATTTACGGTCAGGATATTGGCAACTGCCTATAAAACAGAGCGATCGAAGCAAGACAGCGTTTACGGTACGTGATAAACAGTACCAATTTAAACGAATGCCGTTCGGGTTGGCAGGTGCGCCGTTCACATTCACAAGACTAATGACACTACTGCTCAAGAATCTAGATAATGTCGAGGTATATGGCGACGATGTGGTTGTGTACAGCCAGACTGAAACAGATCACGTCAAGCATGTGGAAGCGGTCTTAAAGCGAATTGAGGAATTCGGACTTCGGATTAATAAGGACAAGTCGCAGATAGCGAAAAGTAGCGTCACGTTGTTGGGACATAAAGTGGGAAATGGAGAAATAAAACCATTACCGGAGAAAATTCTTACCATAAAAAATATTGCAGTACCTAATTCGAAAAGGAAATTGAGACAGTTCCTGGGAAGAGCGGCATTTTACAGTTGGTTTGTCAAGACTTTCAACGAAATAGCAGCACCCTTATATAAGTTATTGAGCAACACCAAGTTTACGTGGACTGAGACTGCCGAACAAACGTTCAACCGAATCAAAAACATGCTAGACGATCGTTAGATGACGCTCAGACTGCCGGAACCAGGAAAACTGTTCACAGTGGCCACAGACGCGAGTGATCATGGTATAGGTGCTGTGTTGAGTCAGGAATACGCGAGTCGCGTCCTCACACACGCTGAACAGAAGTATTCAACCATCGAAAAGGAGTGTTTAGCAATCGTGTGGGCAGTAAAAAAATGGAGACCGTACCTTTTAGG